CCCCTGTGGTTGAATCCTGACCCAGGGATGAGCCAAGACCTTGAAGGAGAAATGGGGGAGTGGAAAATAAATCCAGTGCTGTTCCTAACGAGGCTGGAGAAGCACAGGGAGGATGGAACACCTTGGAAATGGCTGCTCCTGTAATTTTTTTCCCCTTTTAATTGATCAGAGTGCTATTTTTACCCACTTCAGATGCACTCAGGCTGCTCTCTGGGATGGATGATGGTTCTGGCCTTGCTGATTCATCCAGCCCTGGCTGAGGATCTTTCTGGAAGCATCTCCCGTGCCCAGGTGTGTGCAACCTGTCTGGAGTTGGCACCTTGAGTTTCTCCTTCCTCCTCCTCAACTCCTGGAGATCTTTATAAATCCATTCCTGGCCCTGATAAAGGACCAGGCTGAGATCTCCTAACGAGGGCAGGGTTAGGCTTTTAGGAAGGTTAGGCTGGATTTTAGGAGGGTTAGACTGGATTTTAAGAAAGTTGGATTAGGTTTTAGGAAGGTTAGATTAGGCTCCAAACCCCATCCAGCCTGGCCTTGGGCACTGCCAGGGATCCAGGGGCAGCCCCAGCTGCTCTGGGCACCCTGTGCCAGGGCCTGCCCACCCTGCCAGGGAACAATTCCTGCCCAAGATCCCATCCAGCCCTGCCCTCTGGCAGTGGGAGCCATTCCCTGTGTCCTGTCCCTCCATCCCTTGTCCCCAGTCCCTCTCCAGCTCTCCTGGAGCCCCTTCAGACCCTTCAAGGGGCTCTGAGCTCTCCCTGGAGCCTTCTCCTCTCCAGGTGAACATTCCCAGCTCTCCCAGCCTGGCTTCAGGGCTGCTCCAGCCCTGGAGCATCCCCGTGGCCTCTCTGGAACCCTTCCAGCAGCTCCAGCTCCTTCCTGGGCTGGGACCCGGGGCTGGATGCTGCAGGTGGGCTCCAGGAAGAGCACCCAGAGGATTTCCAGCTCCTGCAAACTCCCGCTGCTGGCAAGGCTCCCAGTGCCTCCTGTTTTCCTGCTCAGATTTTCCTCCTGCCCACATTTCCTCACGTCCATCTCCAAAAAACACGGTCCTGGAATCAGAGGTGATCCCAGGGAGGGCAAGGTGATTGCTGGGGCTGGGGAACAGGGAGCTGGATCTTGCCAGCTCCGAGCAAAGACAATTTTAGCTCCTTGCTGCATCTGCAAAGCCCGAGGCTGCATCCCAAAGATGCTCAATTTGAGTGGCTGCAGCGGAAACCTTTCTCCTCTGAAAGCTGTGGCCGTGCTGGGCCGCCCAGGGAGGGAATTATTGATGGAATAACGGGATGTGATGGCTGGGAGGAAGGATACTATTGTTCTGTCCGGGATAAAAAGCTGCTGCTGCTGCTGCTGAGTCAGTGGAGGGAGGAAGGAAAGCAGGAGCAGGATGTGCAGATGCATCCATCCCTGAGGGGGTGAAAACTCTGCTGAGTGTGTCCCCAGTGCTCTGCTCTGCCTGACCTGCTCTGATATCGACATTCAGCTCCAAACCTTGCCCAAACACACCCTAAAACACTAAATTCACCAGTAAATTTACTCAGTAAACCCAGCCCCTCCCTCGTCCCTTGTGCCGGAGCTGGGCACTCACTCCTCAGAATCTTTGTACTCTCCAAGCTCTCAGTCTTGAAACAGCTCCAAGCAAATCTGAGGGAATCCCCTTCTTTTTTCTCACTTTGGAGACTGGTGTGTGTGTCCCAGACCAAAACACGGTAAAAGGAGCACGGGGAGAGCCTGGGTGCTGCAGTGATGCTGCAGAGAGCTCGGATCTGCCAGGGAAATGCACAGGAGCATCAGTGGGATGAGTTTTGCACCCACCCCCCGTATCCAGGGGCAGGAGGAATCACATTTCCCAGGAGATCTGCTGCTGGGAAATTGCCTGGAGCAGTTAATTCTCTTTTGGGGGGGTTGTTTGGCTGGATCTAAAGGGGGAGGATGAGCAGGGAGCTCAGAGGGGTTCTCAGAGGGTGCTGATGGCTCCAGGGTAGAAACTGCTCCTGCTTAGAGCAAATATTTTAGGAATGTCCTTCTCTATTTTTATGGTGTCTTTTATTATTTATTTTTTTTCCTCCAGTGTCTGCTGAGAACTTGAAGAAAATATTGAACAGGACGAGAGGAAGGATCACAGTGGAATATTCTGAACTTCCCAGCTGACACACGTAAGATAAGAGTGACAAATCTGTGGGGGGGAAAATTGACAATATCCTTTTGCTTTTAGGGAGAAGGTTTCAAAGAGGATGTGAGCTGTGGCAAAAGGAAGCCGATTCCCCTTGCCCACCCTTCCCACAGGAGGTGCAAATGTCACCCCAGCACTGAGCAGATTAGGCTGGGCTCACCTTTGAGCTCCTCTGGGCAGCTGTGCCAGGGCCTCACCGCCCTCCCAGGCAAGAATTTCTTCCCAAAATACACTTCCAGCTGCCCTGCCACGACCAGGGACACCTTTAACCAGAGCAGATTTCTCAGAGCCCCATTGCTCAGCCCTCCCGTGCTCCTCACTCCCCCTCCCAAAGAGGATTGAACCCCTTTTGTGTGGTTTCCCCCTCCCTCCCACCCAGCAGCTGCTCCTGCTGCCCTGCCGAGGCAGGAAACACGATCTGCCCCACAAAGCTGGGGAGGGAGGAGGCACAGGAGAAGCAGCAGCGAGAGGAGCAGGGAACAGCTGGTGGGCAAGGGTGGGGTTCAGCAGAGTGTTTGGAGCTGTGGGATGGATGCAAAGAGAGCTGCAGATGAGGACAGAGGTGCTCTGGAGCTGGATCCCCGAGGATGGGGCAGCACAAGGCGCATTTTACTGAGAGGAGAAGTCCTGAGAGCAGCAATTTCAGGTTTGCCTGCAGAGCTCCACCTTTATCTGAGGATGAAAACCTCGCAGCAGCGATGTGCAAAGCCTGCTGAGCTCCAGAGAATCTTCTCAAACCCCAGAGGCTTTTTTGGCTTTTTTTGCATCCCACCCCAAAGCCCGTGCACCCCTTCAGGGCTGCACTCCTCCATCCCTCCTGGATTTCCTGGGAAGCTCGGTGGGTGTCAGCACCAGAACTCTTTTCTCTCTTCCCAGGCTGTGATGCTGAATCCTCTATTCCAACCACACACGTTTCACATTTATTTCAAATGTGGTTTAAAACGGAGGAGGGGGAGAGGCCATAAATATTCTCTCCCAGTGCTGTTTCCTGAGCCTGGGAATACCCAAAGGAATGGGACGGGCTCTGTGGGACAGACCTGTGCAGCCCCAAATGGGTGAGTAAATCCTCCCCTGGCAGGCAAAGTTTTGGGGAGCAGAGAGGACCTGGCCTCGCTCTTGGCACTGCCCATATTTTCATATTTTCATATTTTCATATTTTCATATTTCATATATTTCCACTTTCCTCCGTGTGTGCTCAGGGACAGGGATTAGAACAAACCCCGTCGTTTTGTAACGGAGCAGCCATTTCCTTCACCTTTTTGCAGCACCACCCGTGAAATTGGGATGTCACTGAGTGTAAGTTTGGGAACCTGCCGAGCCTGCAGGCACAGACCTGCAGCAGTGACCTCTCTCAGCAGTTGTGGCTGCTCTGAATTCCACTTTCAGCTTGGCCCGGGGGGTTACCGTGACTCTGCCTGTCCCCTGCTGTCCCCACGGCGTGGGGCTGCTCCCTGCTACCAGATGCATTCCTTGCTTCCCACATCTGGCCTCAATTACTGCCCCTCTCCCTCGGTTTCCTGCCTCTCTGGGTTTCCTGAAACTCACCCCCTCCTCCTGGCAGCCTCAGCTCCTGCAGTGAGATGCTTTGTGAGCTCTCACATTCCTCCCTCCCTCCTTTCGCTGCCTCTGTCGGGGGGATCCTGCCTCAGACCCCCCCGAGTGCTGCCACTGAGCCCCCCAAGGGCCTGGCTGGCCACAGCCAAACTGCCCAGCCCAGTGGTCAGCAGGGCTTTGTCCCAACTCCTCTGGACAGAGCTCCCCGCCCTCGCCCAGCATCCACCCCACACCACCCCGCACTTTTCAGCCAACTCCTTCACTCCCAAGGCTGAGGTTTCTTTAGATTGCCATCCCCTCCTGAGGCTGGGGGCCTTCCAAGCCTCTGCCCTTTGAAAGGAGCATAAAACCTCTCTGGGTTTCCCCTGGGTGCTGCCTGGCCTCTTTCCTGAGCATTTTTCCCGGCAGAAAAGCCATGTGTCCATGCACAAAAGCTTTGGAGGAGGGGAGAGGGCTCTGTCTGTGGCTCTCCAGCCTTTTCCTGCTGCTGGGGGGAGCCCCCGGCCCTGCAGCATCGGGATGCTGCAAATCCTCAGGGGTCTGAGCTTGTTCAGGGCACGGGGGGAGGTGGGAACAGTTAAATCCCACAAAAGATCCAGTTAATGATTCCCATCCCCTTGCTGGCACGTTCCAGCTTTTGGAAGGGGGTCTGGCCAGCAGCTGTGCCAGCAATTGTAGCTCCAAAAGCGCATTTTCCTTCTGTGTCAGCTTTCATTTGTGGCCCCTCTGGATTCCCCTGGTGCCTGCAGATGCCAGAGTTTCCTGCTGCTACAATTCCCTGTGACTCTTCCTTCCCCTCCGTGGAGCTGTGGGATGAGGAGAGGGGTGAGGAAGGCACTGCCGGCTCTGTGTTTCCTGTCCCATCCTTCCCTAAGCCTAGGAGAGGCTTTTTCCCAGGATAAACGTGACTCGGCAGTGTTTGGGAAAGGCAGGAAAAGCTGAGAAGCTGCACCTCTGGAAGCAGGGGAGCAGTTTGGGATGTTTGGGGGTAACAACATCTACAGCTCAGCAGTTCCACAGCCACATCCAACTGCAGCAGCCCCTCTGTATAACGAGGTTCATATATCAGATATATTTATATATATATATGATTTATTATTATATTTATATATAAATATATATAATATTAAAAATCGATAATATATAAAATATATATTTATTATTGTGTTATATTTATAAATAAATATGTAAATAAGTATATAGAAATATATATTTATTATTATATTATATTTATATATAAATCTGAAGTCTATATCTAGGAATTTTATATATATTGTGTAATAAATTGTATTTTGGTGAGCCTGGACCCTGTTTTCTGATTTTCCTGCCCACAGCAGGAGCGCATTGGTTGAGCAATGCCAGCAGGAGCATCACTGACCATCACATCCCTGGAAGCGTTCCAGAAGTGTGGATGTGGCACTCCAGGAGGTGGCTCGGAGGTGAACACGGTGGTGCTGTGAATTTGGTGAGATGAAAGGTCTTTTCCAACCTTAACGACTCCGTGATGCCCTGAAATGTGCGGCACCTCCCTAAATTCCTCCTCCCTTTCTCCTGATGCCTCTTCCTGCTGCGAGCAGCGGTGGGAGCGCGGAGAAGGAAAACTCCAAATTTCTGAAATCAAATAGAAAGGGTTTTTAGAAATCCTTGCGTGCACGAAAGCTGGAGGGGAGTGGATGAAGCGCAGAGCTGAGGATCCAGGTCACAACATCCTTCCTCAGCCTTCCACTCCCCTTGAGTGCTTTGGAATGAGCTCATTCCGAAATTCCCCTGGGGCCACCACCCTGTCTCATCCTCAGAGACCCTTCACAGCTCCCCAAACCCACTCAAGCACTGTAAGACCCTCAAAAGCCCCAGTAGGTGCCAGTCACCCAAACCTGCCCGCAGAAGTTTGGTCCCCACCCCCGGGGGTGAATTTGGGCTGCGAGAGGAGCATCCCTGACAGCCCAAACCCCGGCAGCTCCTTCCCAGGACACCCCAAAGCTTCAGGGGGCTCGGGGGTGTGAAGCGGCACCCCCGGCCCTTCCAGCCTGCCCTCACCAGCCCCAAAGCCGGCTCTGGTGGCCAGGTTTCACCACGCCGAGGTTTTGGGGTTTTTTTGTAGGGCCGAGCCGGGGGTGCCGGCAGGTGGCAGCCTGGGCAGGCGGCACGGGCAGCCTCTCGCAGATGTTTAATGGGATTTCAGAGCTCTGGGATTCATCGGGAGCTGTTGTCACGGAAACGGAGATCTGCGAGAGCCCTGGCGCTCGGCGTTAACCCCCTCGGTGCCGGGGAGGATGCGCCGGAGGGGAGCGCTCCGTGCCCGGAGCTCTCAATCCCCGCCCGGCTCTGTAGGATCAGCTGCTTTATTTAGGATTTGGGCTCTAAAATCTGCCTCGGTGCTGCTGGAGTCTCGCTGCTCCAGGAGGGATGCCTCATCTCCTGCCTGCATGTCCTGGTCCTCTCCTCTTCAAGTTTAGGAGGTTCCCACCCCAAAAAAAGCTGCGCCGGGAGGTGAGGCTGGGGCACCTCGGGGGGGAAATATCCTATTAATGCCTGCTCCCGACACACCCCACCCTGCTCGGCGCCTCCTCGGGGGCTGCGGCTGGACGGGAGAGGGCACCAAAGCTGCGCTGGCCCTGGGGTGGCGGTGGCCATGCCATGTGTCCCCCCCGCACGTGGCTCCCCCCGGGGTGCCAGCCCTGCCACCGGGCAGCTGCGGCCGGGGCTAATCTGCTTAGGGCCTGAGCAGCAGCACGGGAGTGAAAGGGAGATTAGGGGCAGGGGTCTTGGGCAGCCCGGGATGCTCATTGGAGAGGCAGGAGACAACTGGGCCGAGCAGAGAGGGAGAAAACCCTGGGGGAGATGAGAGGAGCAGCCAGAGAGGCCTCAGTGGGCAGCAGATAAGAGCTGGGGGCTCTGAGGAAGGGAAAGGCTTTAGCAACATGCCCAAAAATCCTCGTGGAGCATCCCCCAGCCCCTTCTCCCCAGGAGGGCGTTGCCATGAAAACATTCCCTAAAACACATCCAGAATGGAAACCCACTGGACTTTGCCCTGAGACAGAGAGGTGGGGGAACGGGACATGGAATATTTGCCATTTTTGTCCTTTCCCGTGGTAGAAGAGGAAAAAGATGCTGTTCTCTGGGGCAGAGCAGGGTGTGAGGCTGCTGCTCAGCAGAGCTCGGTGAGGATTCCAGAGGCTGGGCTCCATTCCCTGCTCCTGCCACGCTGCTCTCAGGGGTCCCGTGTTTTCCTTGCCCAGATGTTCCAGAGGAAGTTCTGCCGGAGCAGGGGGGCAGGAGGTGCTCACCGAGCTCTGCCTCTGCCCTGCTCCTTCCCACAGGGCTGGAAAAAGAGCAGAACCTGCTTTTACAATGTGGTGTTTGCTCCTTCCCCTCAGCTGTCAAGGAAACCACGGCACGGGCCACATACCCAGCTGGGGCTGCTGACGTGTTCTGGCCTTTTCATCTGGATCCAAAATAGCTCCTCCACCCTTCCATTTGTGCTGGCTGCACCTTCCACGGTGCCATCATCTCTTCTCCTGCCCGGGAATCAGGCCCAGAATGCCAAAGTTTTTCTTAGAACCATAAAATCATGGAATAGTTTGGATTGAAAGGAACATTTAAAGGTCATCTGGTCCCAACCACCTTCCACCAGGGTGGAAGAACAGGGGAGGAAGATCTCCCAACCAGGCATTTGGAAAAAGGAAACCAGAGTAGAGAGGTAGAGGTGATGATGTTACAACTTTTCTATTTCTCACACAGGAGGAGGAGAAAAGTCAGAAGAAGCATGAAGAGAAATCTCCAAAGTTTCCTCATCCTACGCTGGCAATGGGATTTTTGCTCATCATTTATGAGCAGAAAAGAACAGGGATTTAAAGTAACATTGAGGGGCTGGAGCGTGTCCAGGGCAGGGAACGGAGCTGGGAAGGGGCTGGAGCCCCAGGAGGGGCTGAGGGAGCTGGAAAGGGGCTCAGCCTGGAGAAAAGGAGGCTCAGGGGGCCCTTCTGGCTCTGCACAAGTCCCTGGCAGGAGGGGACAGCCGGGGGGTCGGGCTCTGCTGCCAGGGAACAGGGACAGGAGGAGAGGGAACGGCCTCAGGCTGGGCCAGGGGAGGCTCAGGGTGGATATTGGGAAAATTTCTTCACTTAAAGGGTGGTCAAGCCCTGGAACAGGGCAGTGGTGGAATCACCATCCCTGGAAGTGCCCAAAAGCCACCTGGACGTGGCACTGGGGACACGCCTGGGCACTGAACACAGTGGGGATGTTTGGATCCGATGATCTCAGAGGCTTTTCCAACCCAAACAATTCCATGATTGTAAGGGGCTGTTCTGCCTTTCGGCCTCAGTGGGGTTAGCACAGCCCTGTGTGGCTGATTTGTCGTGGGACTTGTGGGGTGTCCCTGTCCCCCTGCCCTGATGGGATCAGCAGCTGTAGGTTTGTATGGCCCCAGCACCATGGGTGTGCCCAAATGCCACCTGAGCTGGAGGTGACAGTGCTCCCTGT